GAAGCTGCAGCAGCTGCAGCCGAAGAAGCTGCAGAAGATGCTGATCCTTCAGTGCCTTGGCATTAGTTATTTTTGGAACCCAGGACTCAAAACATGAAATGCAAGTCAATGCATGCGCGAGAGTTTTTACGTAGTTCAGTTTATCATTCCTTTCTCCCAAGTAAAGCTGAGGTCCAGACTTCTGTGAGCAAGGAAAGGGGTCCAGCACTGCAAGGAATGAAGGCTCCAGGAGAAAACAACAAAGAGGATAAACATGGATAAACACATTATTCATTGAGACTTGTTGCCACCTGGAAATGGTTGATATTAGGAAAACCTTGAGTTAGCAAACAGGTTTCATATACAAATATGGTTTCCAGAGCCCAAACAATAACCAAGTCAAACACATCTGAACTGTCACTTCCTCATGAACAAACTGTCATTTCCAACGGCTATGGATTCAGACTGTTCCGGTGGACCGTGTCCAGGACCGTGTCGGTCAGCGCTCCGGGCGGGCACGGCGACCGGAGACTTGGCGCCGAAAAGTTGTCCAGGCCGTCCCAATTCCTTGAAGTGAGTTGACCAGGAGAAGACAATCTTCAGAGTTTGGACTCAAGGTGAGGTGGGTAGAGGCCCATTCTTGGCAAAGATACGAACTCACAGTCACAGATACTGGAGTCTTCGGCAAACTGCGACATTGTTGGCACTGCCCAACACTATTCCACAACCCATGTATTGTGGAAGAGTTTGGTCTATGCATGGACAACAGTAAATTGTGGTAACTATTCCAGTCCCATGATGGCCCATGGGCTGTCCTTTGCCTTTGCGTTGCCCAAAACACATCCGAGGAAGAATCCAGTTGGATCCGCGGCTCGGTGCGCGTCTCGATGCAGCGGGTCAAGCAACGAAGGCCGGGTCGCGGGGCACCGTGACGTTCAGAACGGACCGTTCGTGTCAAAAGGAGCTCCGAGTTCACAACAGCGAGTGGGACTCAAACAAACTGAAGTGCGAAACAAGCGAAGGATGCCTTTCAAACTACTTTTGACATATTGCTTGATGTTGCTTGTTTGAGAAAAACACACGCGACGTAGTATGGAAACGCTGCTTGCAGCCGCGTGGGAAGTTAATTGGATTTGTGGTGTAAGCCTTCGTTTGCCTAGGATATTCGGTCAGGTGCAGACCCGAGGCATCCATTGGCCAGACCAAATGTGATTCAACTCCTTCCGATGTCTGTTCGACTGGAACTGGCCGAGATTAATTGACTAAAGTAGCCAGTGATAATAATGAATGACCATGACCGGAATTAATCAATTAACTAACAGGTAATTGACAGGTAATTTTTGTTATTTCCATTGACAGGTTCACCAGACCGGACAGGATTAACTGTCCGATGTTTCGTGGTCAATGCGATTGCCAGAGGCGTAGCAGGAGCTCCCATCAATCCCGCTCGAAGGCGGGTTGGAGGCTTTGTGGCGGTTCCAGCTGACTTGGGCAGTGACATCAAGCGCTGGCAAACAGGAATCTGCTTAGTACTGTAATTACGCGTGAATTTGATCGGTTTTAGCTTCTGTTTTTCACAATCCTGGACACTCTCAGCAACTCCTTTTGTAGTAGCGGTTAGTAGCGAAGCATATAGTCTTCCAAGGGCACGCATTGTGAATTGTCCATGTGAAGAGCATGGAGTGCGCTAGTTGTGTGTACTTAATGTTCCAATAAGGCCACTAGGAACTAGGATTTCTTGCAATCTGTTAGTTGTCATGACCCTGAAAAGCAATCTTCACACACATACACATACCGTACGCCAAATCGCTTGTATACTAGTTATTGTTTCTCTTGGCAGGTCTCTTGCGCAAGTCAGTCGGAATATGCTTATGATCTCAAACAATGCAGCTTCGTTGTGATATGATTCGGTCATTCGTCTGTACCTTCCACCGGCGGAAGGTGGAAGGGGACTGAAGCCGACTTCCTCGGTGGTTTTCCTGTTTATGCTGCCATTGTTGATGTTTTCCTCAGTAGGAGTCATGGTTTGAGGCGAATAATGGTCTACTTAGGTCTATATATACTGAGTTTCAGAAAGGAACTGGCTCATATTGCATCCCGTATACCCACGATCACGTGATCACAAGCTGAACGGCAGCTTCCAGCGCATTTGCCAAAGTTGCAGGCAGACAAAAGAAAAAGAGAGCAAGAAGACGAACCAACGAATCCGGAGGAGACGGAACTTATTGCAATGAACTGCATCTCTCAGAACCAAAGCCGAGAGGATTGTCCCGGTGAATCGTTCTCTCTTGACTCGCTCATGTCTTGCGAACAGAGCAGTGCAAACAAAGCAACGCTGCCACTGCCCCCCACCCCACAAGCATCAGGATGTGGCCAAGTTGCGAGGAGGTGCGCTGGTGTGCAGCGTTTTCGTCGCCTTACAGCAGTTTCTTCATGTGGAATTACACCACATGTTTGGTTAAAGAGATTCAAACGTGGGTTCAATATGGTTCAATCATCTTTTGTTTTCGGAGCGAAGGTGTTATCATGTTGAGTATTGTTGAGTGGATGATAAATAAAATAAAGATAAATAACTCACCCACCCAGCCTATACCATGGAGAATGTTTGCCAGGGTGTTCCAAGCTGTTGGTAGCGAACATTTATTCCATCAATAGCTCACAACAGTGTCACCCATTACCCATTACAGTATAAAGATTTGGGCAGTCGTGTTGGGTGCATCTGGATTGGGTAAGATCAAGCGAAGAGCCACGGCTTGGGAGCTCAGTCAGGGTCGGGCCTGAGTCAACTGCCGAGCTATCTCATTGGACTTTTGGGACTGCCAGGCACAGCCGCATCTAGTTCACCAAAGACGCCTACGATCGCGACCTGTGCAGCTGCTGCACCAGTGGTGCCTGACCAGGCGCTGCTGCAAACCGCGCCTGTGAGGGATGAAGACAATGAACCGCAAATAAATAGAGGTCAGAGATGGTCAGAGCAGCTTTGCTATTTCTTTTTCTGGCTCATGTATTTTCAGCCACTGGTCAGAAACCAGTGCTCATCTGACCTTTCAGGACAAAGAGCAGGAGTTGAAGGAAAGCTCCAGAGAGGCACAGTTGGTGCACTGGGCCATGAAATTCGAAGCCTGAAGCCACGGTTGATACTCTCCCTCTAACAATCATGGAAGTAAGAAAGACACGGAAAATATATGTTTCTCGACAACACAGGGGGTTGACAACTTTTGGACGGGGGTATTATTACTACATTCCACTGTTTCTATCCATACCCTGGCTTGGGTCATCTCCATTCACCAACTCCCGGCGCCTGCTGGACAGGATGAAGTCGGCCAGTCAGCCATGCTGGACGTGGAGCGGTCGGAGTGTTGCTGGGCCGAGCGAAGTCGATGTTTGAATTTGTCCAGCCTCCCAACAGAGTATTATAAGAGCATGCGCCTGATATTTGGGGCTATATACCTCACCAATCCCACCAAAGCATTCGTGTTCACCACCAAAAGGCACATTTTAGGTTTCATGCAATGACGATGTCATACTGTACTTCTTCATGGCGGGGGAACGGGTGCGGGGGTAGTTGGCGGAATGATTGCTACAGTTGAACTCCATGTATTGCTGCGTAGCGGTGGAGTTGAAAAAGTCATTGAGTATATGTTGAAAGTTCTGGTCCCTTATCAATGAGCCTACTATCACTACTATCCTTATACTCAGCCACTGTTGATTCGAGCGTTGTATATCATAGTGTTTGTACTGCATTGTTTGTGTTTGTTTCCGCTTGGTTTGGAGAGAAGGACTAGGCCAGGTCGGCCGGGTGCCAGGTTCCACCGTGTCCTGATGTCCCAAATGCAGTTGAAGTGCCTTTGTTACGTACATACAATAGCTCACCCAAATCCTGTTTGTTCATCAGGCAGGCAACCTGCACGAAAAGGATTGTCATATAGTGATTACAAGCCAACAAATTCCAGTGACCCGGACTAGAATGCCTCAAGATGCCTCAAGTCTTTTGCGGGCTGTCATGTTGGGTTGGCTGTTTCGAAGGGCGCACATAGAGATATGTCTCGACTTTTGTTATACCTGCGACTATAGAGGGCTTCGGTATTGAAGAGTCAAGTGCTTTCCACTCAGTCTCAGTCAACTGCGGAGCAGTCTCAGTCTCATTTGACCAATTTCTTTGACCCTGGCAGTCAGGCACCGCTTCTCCACCGAAGCCGGACACCGAGCCCGTGCCTGAAGCGATCGTGCCAGCTGCAACGCCTAAAGCAACGGCTGATCCAGACGACTCCAGATCCAAGGACTCTCGGCTCGACCGCTGCGAGGTCGCGCATGCAGCAGCGCCACCGGGTCGGCACCTCCGAAAGGGTTCCAAACAGGTTTGAAAGCGCCAGAGGTGAGTGCCTCAGCCTCCGAAAGCTGTGTGTCAGTGTAGAGAGTTTTCTCCTTCCTAAATGAGTATGTTCATGTTGTAGTCTCTTAATACAAGCAGAAGATTGAGCAATCCCTAAGGAGGACTCATCATTAAAGTATGCGAGATTGCCGGTCACTCCACACAAAGTCCCCCAAGTGACAATGAGTTCATGTGAGTTCTGATATGGGCTGCTGGAGCTAGATTGGTGTTGAAGGACAGGAAGGAAGTATGATTTCACTCCTGGCCTTGCCATAGCTATATTTGAGGGAGTTCAGATGTAGGTGGTCTTTGGTCCACCCGATAGCAGTGAGGACCTCGCCGAAGGTCGCGGTTCTCGAAGGTCGCGGAGCTCAAGCAGCAGTTCATATTCCTACGAGTATCTCAGTCCTCCCCAGTCAGAACAAGTTTTAGTTTCCACGTTAATGACCAGTAGTGTAGCGATTGAATTTGTTGCCGGTTTGTTCCCTACAAAATCCACAAACATGAAAGATCTAAACATATGCATTGGCACTTTACAGTACATTGTATATTTGAAACGGACGGAGTTAAAGTAATATAAATATACATACCATCACTCACCCATGTTTGTTTTTCTCCAGGATGGTTGGTGGTTGTCACTTTTGCATACCACTTTGAATTGAAATTGCGAATGTCCTTGTTGCACTTGGTCAAAGCTGGCAAAGACAAGTCTAGTGCCCTTGCAGTTCGGGAATGCAAGGAGTCTCAGTCTTCCTAGACTTGGTTGCCTCACTGTTCTCAAGGCCGCCTCCATGACAAACCAGATATACACGGCGTTTTCGGGCATGGGGGTGGTTTTGTGCGGGGCCCCTCCCGTCGCATCGAACGAAGAACGGAGCTCCGTACTGGGCCTTCCGCGCCAGCGCCAGTTCTGCCACATTTCAAGGGACTGGTGGTCTTCAGCGCTGAAAGAACAGATCCCTTCTTAAGGAGGGGAAGATGAGGGAAGATGGACCTGTTAGCAGCTCTGATGCCTTCGGATCAGTTGAGGTACAGCAGCTCCAGCAGTCGATCGCGCTCCAGGACAGTGCAAAGGGTGAAGGTGAAGGCGGAGAGCACAGACGAAATACCAAAGGCAGCTCCACCAAGAGAACAAAGGCCTGTGGGATTGTCGATCATTTGCTTTGCACAAAAAGAGTCCCACCAAGATATGGACACTCAAAGTATGTTTTCGAGTATACAATTAGATCGATGGCCACCTCTAAATTAGACGTTTGGGGACTACAGTACACCGTTTGGATAGATGAGACCCAGCTCTAGAATTTTGCGGTTTGACCATTTATGATAGCATTGGCATAGTTTCTGGGCACAGTCAGAATATTTGTAGGGGACTCACGGCTAGCCGGTGCACAGTCAGTGCGCAGTTCCAAAAGTCGCTGCGGCGGAGTTGTGGTTGTATTGTTGTCTGTGTTTGTTTATAGATTGATTTGTATAATACTGTGTACATCTGTGTACTATATATTATATTATATTATATGTATAGAGTGACAAAGATTTCTATGTGTGCATGTCTTTGTGTTCGGTGCACATCCCACAAGGTGTTTGACGAGTGATGCCGAGAAAGGGCTTACGATTGGTCAGATGGTCGACAAGCAGATTGCAGACTTGCAAGATAAGGTCACACGTCTTGAGCAGGCACTTTGCAGTGAAAGGGGCCTGCGGGAAGCAGCTGATCAAAAGTTTAGAGACGCTGTCCAATCTTTAGAAGGCAAAGCAGGAGACTCGGTGATGTTGCAGAAAGTGTTCCTGTCGGCCGACAGAGCATGTTCATCAATGTTTCTTGGGAATAGTCTCATAGCAAGTGTTTGTTCATGTTTGTTTTTGTTGAACAAATCATTTCAGGAGAATGTCAAAGCCTCCAGCGTGTTCTGGCCAGCGAGCGAGAGAAGCTCCAAGCAGCGCAGAAGCAGGTGGAGGCTGGACACGAGAAGCTTCACGCTGCCGAGAAGAAGGTTGAAGCTGGAGAAGAGAAGCTTCATGCTACTGAGAAGCAGATTGAGGTTGAGCGAGAGAAACTGAAGTCGGCTGAAAGGGAGATTGAGCAGCTGACCTCGCGATTGGCAGAGCAAAGGCGTATTTCCAGCATGGCCAGCAGTTGTGGTGCATGCTGGCAATATGAAGAGAACGGATGCTGGCACGCTGTACCGCCTGAAGCGAATGATCAGATGCATCAGGCCTATTTGGCCTACCTTCGTGATCCAAGCTCGGGCAATCGTTGCAGGACCATCAATTCAGCAGGGGTCGCCCGTGAAGTTGATTTCGAGCTGATGCAGCAAAAGCGAGGTGACACCAACAAAGTTCGCCAGATTCGGATTTTGCCCGACGTGCCAAAGCAGTGGGTCTCCACCCCTGCTTGCTTGTTGCAACAGACGGATGAGCTTCGACAATTCTACGTCGAAGAGACTGATCCTCGCATTTACAGCCAAGTGCAGGAAATCCTACAATCAGCCGGCCACAAGCCAGGCTGCTCTTGGATTTGGACCTCAACCATCAAGTCAGTGCACCGCATTGAAAACTTGAGGCTTTGGCAGGCTTATAAGTTGAGGCGGGAAGCTTTGCGGAAGGGGCTTGCAAGTCACAATGTGAATGTCACCCCTGCAGATTTGGACCTGGACGTTTGTGGTGCAGGGGTCTTGACCAAGAACCAATCAGTGTTTGACTGTGGTGAGCCGTTGGCCCTAGATGTGGATGAGAAGATTCTCCTGCATGGCACAAGTTGGGACAACGCAAACTCTATAGTTCTGAATGGCTTCGACCATCGGACATGCTATCGTTGTATGTATGGCGAGGGGGTCTATTTCGCATCTGCCGCGTGCAAATCCCATCAATACACATGCAACTGTCGTACAGCTGGCTGTGGCTGCAAGAGAGAAAGAACTTTGATTTTGGCCCGTGTGGCCCTAGGCGACAAGTACTACAGCCAGGAAACCCGGTACCATCAGCGGAGGCCACCGGTGAGAGATGGCACGTCCGGGGCGACATATGATTCCATTGTGGTCAATCCCGGTCCGATCAAGGGACATCACAATGCAGCCCAGCTGCATCAGGAGTTTGTGATTTGCCAGATGGAACAGGCATATCCCAGCTATGTGATTCAATACCAGTTGTGAGCTTTTCACAGACAGAGCCGGCCAATGTTGTCAATGCTACTTGCAACTCATCTCGATTCAAAAGGATCGCTACATATACTTGACTCGCTCGATGGGTGTGTGAATCATCCTCCCAAACCCTGGTAGGTGACCTGGCCTTTAGATGATTCATGTGGTAGGTCAACCAGTGACATCCAGTGTCCAGGATGCTTGCCATTCGGTTTCCGATGGTTTCCATGTAGTTTTTCTCTAAGCGTTTATTGGGGTGGCTTCTCCACAAAGACAATATGACAGGATGGTTGACATGCATCAGATGTTCTTGCAGTCTCTAACTTGCCGATGGCCAGACTCAGGACCCGGGCCGTGTGATGTCCCAAGGGCAGGTTCAGAAAGTACAAGCTGGGGTTTATCTTTACGGATCCTCCTCGGGATATTGTTGATAAACATATTTCAGGTGGGTGAACGGGCAGCAGCTGTCCGTGTCTATTGGCATGTAATTCTACATATAGCATATCCCTTTCTCAGTGCATATCCCTTTCTCGGTGCCTCTTCCAAAACTTATTCAGATAGGACCTCACTGCTGACAGACTTGTTGGATCTCACCTATATACCTGGACCATCCAAGGGGTGCCCAATGGAAGCCTGTAGTAGGTAGTGTGGGGTAGTCCATTGGACACCCCTTGGATGGTCCTGGTACACATCTCCATGTTTTGTTTGCGCAAAGAAGTTTCACACGATTCTCCGTCCGCCCGGCCAGCCTTTGTCCGGTCCGGGGATTCTCCGTCCGCACGGTTTCGATGCGTGCGGTTTGGCCTAGGTGGATTTGGCGAACTTTTTGTTCCCCGATCTGCGGATGAACTTGCTACCGATGGACGCCCGGCATCCTCAATGTCCCAGTGGACACGGACAACGGGATGTAAGACAAGTAGGCAGAATTTGATTATTCTTAATGGTTTGTAATGTTTGTTCCACGATCTCCATGTATCTCGATACTATTTTCCTGACAAGCTTTGCCATGTTTGTTGGACCGGTTTACTGGAGGGTCATTCCCCATTGCCCCGCGTTTCCTCCTCGCCCCAAGGAACCTGAACTTTTGGAGTTCTACCACGCCACTCAGCTCGCAAACAACCTGACGGATGGAGTGATGATTTGGATGATGCGTTTGAATGTAGACGGTTGGGTTGAAGTATAGTTTGGGGGTGTCTGAACTTACCTGTAACAGTCGGTAATCAATTATCACTAATTTAGGGAAAGGATGGGAAAGGCATGCAACCGCAACCTAACCATTCCACTGCACAGGGAATAGGATACGCGCACAATATAGTAATCAACAGTCAACATTAGTGAACTGGACGTGTTTTTTGTTTCCAGGGCATTAATTAGTGCATTGTAGGATATTTGACAAGGCATAAGTTTTGCTGTGTACAACACAGTCCAGTATGTCTCACAAATGTTCAACAGATTCCACAAGGATCACGATTCCAAAGGATCCTGTGTATATTTTTCTCCCCTTCACCTGGGTTTCCAGACAATGGGCGAGCACTTGGAGACTTTCCGAGGTCCAGTTGCTAAAGGCCATGGAGGACTTTGGGACCGGGGGGCGCCCGGAACCCACAGATGCGCGGCCTCCGCAGTCCTGATGTATGAGAGTAGATGTCCGTATGGGAGTATGGTATGCTGACTTCTGGAAGCGTTTGTGTAATTCAGGGTCTAGGGTTTGCTGATCAACGTCTACTTGTTGGCACCACCCCTTCTTGGGTGTCAACAGCCTTCCTCCCACCTAGGTTCCACTCTCATGTTTCATTAAGACCAGATATGCTCAATTGAACAAACATAAAACTGGACCTGGCATCCTGATTTTGATATTTGCTCCACTTCCAAATGTAGTGACTCTAATCTCCTTGTTATGATGGGCCAAATGCCTTCTTCTTTAATTTGTGTGCATGTGGACTATGGTGGACTCGGCAAGCTACGATCACGAATGTCATAAATAAGTGCAGGATCTGTTGAGTCACAAATACGGGATTTCTTCCATGCTTCTTCAGTCCTTACTGGAGTCCTTTAGTCATCGGAGCACCCTCGTGGGGCACATCCATTTTTTTGGGTTGGGTTATTACTATATATATAGATAACTAGCACAGGCAAGGTTTCTATTAGGGCCTCCAACTGGTTGCAACTAACATTGATCAGAAGCCTCATAACGAAAAAAAGACATGCCCCAACCAATGCTGCCGCCAAGGATTTCCCAATGACCACCTTCCTGGCTCACTACACCTTGGCGCGCTGTGACTACATGTGCTCCGGCTGCATGTCCTGGGAACCCTTGGCCTCCTTGGAAACCATGTCGCTCGGAGAGCGAGACGCAGAGGTCTCAGAGACTTACGATGACTTAAACCTGCGCTCGTTGCAGTTACTTGGAGACTTGTGAAGACTTGTGACTTGCGATAAAACGGCGTGTGTACCCAATGCAAGGGGCGTTTCACGGGTCAAGACGACAGTGGAAGGATTGACCAATCCCATTTGGAGGAATCACCGTGCTTGCACGTGGCACTCATGGCACCGTGTGTTACATCCATGAAAAGAAATGATCTTTGACGACCTAGCAATCCAGTCTTCAGGGGCCGGTGAGCAATTTGTCAGAATAGAACTTCAACGACTCTACCAGCACCTTCAAAGGGGTCACCAATGGAAGCCCCTACACTTCTAAGGGACCTTCATTGGACACCCCTTGAAGGTGCAGGTACTCTTTCTTGAACGACTCAAACCAACATTGAACCAACTGGGCTATGCCAAGAGGAAGCTCCGTGCCAGACCCGTGAAGAGAAGCCCATCCTGTTGTGCACCTTCAATACCACAAAAGTGTGTGAATCCCAACCACAAACACAAATTATAATATATAAGTAAAAGTATAGCTAAAAAATTATGCATATATAATTATATAAGTTACATACATATGCAGTAAACAAAACCAAGTCGTCCCAAGCACCTTCAACTGTGTTGGATTTGAAGTCGTCCTAGTAGGAGTCGTCGTTGTTTGTCACGCCGTTGGTTCGCCAGGTCCCAGAAACCTCCCGACCTGCTGAAACTTCCTAGGCGCTATATGCTTGGCCGAGGGTGGACTGCCGGACTCTAAGCACTCCCGGGCTACCAGTGATGCAGAATGGGTCCAAATGATGCTTTTGCGTCGTACCAACACATTGGAACCCAAAAAATCCACCCACCGGTGCGTTGTTCCATATATTTTGCCAAGGAGTGTTGTTTGAACCCTCAGTCATGAGGTGTTTTCAGCACAGATTCCATTTCAACTATGCAGCTATTATGCTATCATGATGCTATTAAGGTTTCCTGATTGGGAGGTGAAGCCGTTGACCGTTTGAAAGGAGGTTGCAAAAAGTGTTGGAGACGCCAACCTCACGGGGAAGAAAACAACACATAGAAATACCCTCCTTAAGAGTCACCCTGCTTAAAACTCTTGGCTTGGGTATTGTGAACTTTCACTCAGAGTGAGTTCACCGACTGTATGACTATATGGCTATATGGTATCCAAGAAGTTATAGCGAAACCTGATCATGACCTGCAATGTACCAGAATGGTGAATTTGTGAGATTCGTGAGGAGTTCCGACCTTGCTGCAATTTGGACTATACAGTGGTTTCAGAGTAGATGTAGATGGCACAATCCCCCCTAAAGTGCTCTATATATAGACCCCCATCATACCCCCATCTTAAGGACATTCCGGGTCTGTGTCATCCACTCTGAAACCACTTTGTTTGACTCCCAGGACGGTCCAAACGTCACCAGGGACGGTGGTCCTCCCCCCCAGGGCCCAGCCAGGCCATCCGCCGGCGTTCAGAGCAAGGCCGTTTCCACAAAACGTAACGTTTCCTATATGTGTTCACTGTCCGATGATGGGTAATGCCGCATGTTTGCGAAGTTGGAAGTTGGTGAAGGGTACTGACAGGAGGGTCACTACAAAACGCCATTGGATTCCTTGTGTTGTTGTGGGACACCAGGCCTGTAGCGCGGCAGACGCTGCCATAGTGGATGCCGTGGAGCGCGGATGGGGGTTCTGCTCGCTGGTGAGGTCTTGATCGGTGGCAAAGTAAACACTATATATGTGTGATATAGGCATATACTGGGATGTGAGGTCTTGATCGCTGGTGAGGTCTTGATCTGGGTTTGTCCTATCATCATTTTCGAACAAGGCCTGCAACCTAACCATCATCATCCACTGTTACAGGTACTGTAATAGGATAGACCCAAGCGATACACTAGATTCATTTGAATGGTTCAGCGTTCACCAACCGCCAACCAGTAAGGGGTTGAGCCATAAAGTTGAGAAGTCGTCTTTTCTTCAACATCTTTTCCAGCTCATGTTGTTTGATTGGTGTCAATTGAATGGTGATAATGATGATCAGTTGGAGGGATCTGTTTAGGGTGGGCGCACAACCTATCACAACATGTGGTCTAGCCATTCTCTTTTCAATGCTTCTTAGGTGCTGTGGTCCCTTAAACCTTGACGTACTCGTAACGACGGCACGTCCGTCACAAAACATCCGTGACGACGCACTCGGTCCGCTCCGTTCCCGTCGCATTCTGTACCAAACAGGTGCCGCTCTCACCGAAAAGACCATGTGATGGTTAATTAATAAGAAATACCTCAATAAAATTAATGGTGCATACGTTTATGACTTTCTTTATCTTTGCTGGGCTTTTGTTATTAAAGATTTCTTGATCCCATTGTCCCCCAAGCTGTGATGCTTCCTGTGGTATGGGATGGCAACCTGGATCGCAACAACCATCCCGTGAACTGATGCACTAACCCAGGGGTTGAGGCAGGGGGTTCACCCCCAGAACAATCCATGAGACTGGACACCTCCAATTAAATACCCCACTAACCAACATCACAGACTATATGCAGCCTTGGTTCGTAACTCGCAGGACAAAGATCTGCAGCGCCTGGATCAAGGTCAAGTCTTGCCCACCGAAGGCGGCGGCCCTTTCTACGGCCTTTCTCCATGTGGCTCACAGGGAAACGCTCGACTCAACAAGGTGGATTTAAAGATCCATAGGAACCCTGTGTTCATCATGATCGTCTACCCTCCATTTGCAGGTCCTCCCAAACTGTTGCTGCTTAGACCTGTGAGTTGCTCACTTGAGTTGGATGTTTGCCTCAATGTAGTGAACTCGAACACATTTGGGGAAGGAATGGTCTTTTGCTTGCTCTCACCGTGGCAGTGAACCAGGCTGATTCACATGAAGTGCTTCAGTCCTTGGGCACTCCCAGGTCGGTCGAAGACATGGACTTCTCCACACGATGGAATCGTCTCCCTGGGAGACGGGACAGATGAAGACTGCCTCCACCAAGTCCCTGTGAGTCCCATGGTGGTAATGTAGACTGTTGATTGATACAATCCTCCACATGAATCACATCCCACAGTGGTAATGTAATACAATCCTCCATATGAAGATGTAAACCTTTCTGGTGGGCGGGAGTTGTATTCATCAACGGTCTACATCTACTGGATCCACTTGAAATCTTTTGATGGAGGAAGTCTGCACCACCTGGAGAGGGGTGGAACCACCTACTTACTTGTCCCAGGGCTCCAAGTTGATGAAGGATCAAGAGGAGTTTTGTTTTTCTGTAGGTTTCTTTGTAAAAATTGTGGAGTGCTTTGTCCTCTCAGCTGCCAGGCTACGCCAAGGCCATCAGCGAACTACTTGCCAGCTGAAAATGGTGATTGCTGTCTTCTTCCTTTGGAGATTGCCAACACATCGGCAAGTTTAGCTCTGTTTTTGTTTTGGTGATGTCAGCACTTTTTAATTTGAGTGTCATTCAAGTTGTGCTCAAGGACAAAAGCAACAAGCAACCATATCGTCTATTGCTTAGATGTTCTCAGAACCCACTGTGGCGGGAACACTTTGAAAACCAAGCGAAACATTCTTACATTGTTTTTGCAATTGTTTAATTGTTTAAAACATTGTTTATAACATTGTTATGTTGTTTCAAACATTGTTTATAATATTGTTTTATTGTTAAAAACATTGTTTATAACATTGTTGTATTGTTTAAAACATTGTTTATAATATTGTTATATTGTTTAAAACATTGTTTACAACATTGTTGTTTTGTTTATAGCATTGTTTAAAACATTGTTATATTGTTTAAAACATTGTTTATAACATTGTTACATTGTTTAAAAGATTGTTATATTGTTTAAAGCATTGTTTATAACATTGTTACATTGTT